GATGGCGAGGTCCCATTTGAATCCGCCGCGGGTGCACACTGTGCTGGGCCCCCCAGCAGGCCTCGAAAGTGGCGACAGTTTCACAGATCGCAGCCCCCCAGGGATGGCGAGGTCCCATTTGAATCCGCCGCGGGTGCACACTGTGCTGGGCCCCCCAGCAGGCCTAGAAAGTGGCGACAGTTTCACATATCGCAGCCCCCCAGGGATGGCGAGGTCCCATTTGAATCCGCCGCGGGTGCACACTGTGGTGGGCCCCCCAGCAGCCCTCGAAACTGGCGACAGTTTCACAGATCGCAGCCCCCAGCAGCGCTCGAAACGCAGCGATGAGCCAGGTAAAAGGCAGGGGGGGAGAGGAGCGGGAAGGCGCGAGCAGTGCTCTATTCAAAACGAGAACCCAACGCAGGAGGGTTGGGAATAATAAAAATACGAATGGTTGTAGGACTACGAATAGTAAGAGTGGCAAGGGTAACAATAATCGCAAGGGTACCAATAATTGTGATAATGAGACTCGTAGCACTGATAATACATAAAAACATGCACTGATGCGAAAGCGTATGAAACTGCACATATTGATAGTACAACAGAAAATAAGCCACATACGAATAGCAATGCTTATACTAACTAGAAGGGCCATCATACGACATATAACGAAAAACACGGGAAGAGAAGAAAGAGGGTTGAGAAGGGTGGAGGAGGAGGATGAGGCGGAGGATGAGGAGGAGGGGGAGGAGGAGGAGGAGGAGGAGGAGGAGGAGGAGGAGGAGGAGGAGGAGGAGGTGGAGGAGGAGGAGGAAGAGGGTTGAGGAGGGTGAAGGAGGAGAAGGAGGAGGAGGAGGAGAAGGAAGAGGATGAGGAGGAAAAGAAAGAGGAAGAGCAGGAGGAGGAGGACGAGGAGGAGGAGGAGGAGGAGGAGGAGGAGGAGGAGGAGGGAGGAGGAGCAGTTGGGCAGAGAGGGAAACGGGCAGTTGGGGAAGGAGAGGGAGGCCTGAGGAGGGTGGAGGAGGAGGAGGAGGAGGAGGAGGAGGAGGAGGAGGAGGAGGAAGAGGAGGAGGAGGAGGAGGAGGAGGAGGAGGGGGGCAGGAGGGAAGAAGAGCAGGGGGGCAGGAGGGAGGGGAGGAGGGGAGGGAAGCCCGGAGCATGCACCCGCACATTGGGGCAGAGGAGCGCCCCGCCGCCGCCCCCTGCCGGCGAGGCAGGCGGCCCTCGCGAGGGTGTGCTCGGCGTCGGCGCGGGGCGCCGCGGGAGGCCCCGACCGGCGCGCCCCCCGCGGCGCCGCGCCGGGCGTTCACTTTCGGGGGCCCCCAGACGGTGCGGTGACCGCGCCGCGCGGCGAGTCAGTGGGGATGCGGGGTCACCGCGCGGTTTTGGGAGGTGAGGCGTCCCCCAAGGATGCCTCGGGCGACTGGGGCCCCCAGGGTGCCAAAAGCCCTGATGCGGGGCCTTCGGGGACTCCAAGGTCATTGCGCGGTCTGGCACCACACAGTTTTGGGACCCCCAACACTCACTGGACTGGAGGTGTCGTCGGTTCCTGGGGATTTCCCTGCCTCGAGGTGCGCTCCAGCAGCAGGGCCTCGCCGAGAGCGTTCTGGGGCTGCCTGGATCGTCCCGAACGGCAGCCAGAGACCCGAGCTATGATCAAGGGAGGAAAAACCACCCGGACCAGACAATTGGCGTTTATGAAACGGCCTTTGGCGTTTACTAAACAGCCCTGCCCTGTCTGATTCCTTCTGTGGGTGCTTCGCGTGTCGGGGTGGTTGTTATCGGGATGGATTTGCTGCCCTCTATATGGCACGCAAGCCACAATGCCGTGACGCTCCCTCGTCCAGGGAGGTCGCGACGGAAGATTTGGTGACCGCTCTCCGAGGCAACGCCAGGGGGATTCTTGGCTGGGCTCCAGGGGGGCGCATCGGCTCCCCATCGCCCACACCGCCGCCGAGATGGACCCGATGGCTCACCCCGCCCGGGCGTGTGCAGAGTCGCCATCAGTCGCCGATCTGTCGGCGGCGTATCCCCCGACTCCAGCTCGCTGCTCCCCCCCCCCCCTTCTTGAGTTGGCCCAATATGGACCTCTCTCTCTCTCTCCCCCCCCCGTTGCCACCCTCCAGAGGGGGGCCCTGCCTGGCCCTGGGGCCGTGCGAGCACGCCCCGCGGCGTGGAGAGCCGGCCCCCAGAGGTCCAGCTCCCCCCCCCTAGGGGTCACGCCGTGCAGCGAGCTGCGACGTCGGGACCTCTGCGCTCGCGGAGCCGCCGCCCTGGCACTCTGCCGACGGCACGTGAGAGCGACCCTTCGCCAGAGTGACCCTTGGTGCGGGCCCACTGGGGCCCCCCGATCGCCGAGCGCGAGGCGGCAGCGGCGCCTTGCGCGCCTCTGTTTGGCCGCCCCCCCGCGGCCCCCGCAAGGCCGCGCACCAAGGGCCCCTCTCTACCCAGGGCCACCCCCGCGTTCAGTCGACCCTGGCGGCGCGCAGGGAGGCGGCAGGGCTCAAGGCGGCACGGGAGCAACACGCTCGCGCGGGTCGGTGTGGGGCAGCGGCGCAGGAAGGCCGGCCCGCCCCTGCATCGGCCGGAGTTCCCGTCCCCGGAGTGCCCACGTGGCGCCGACACCCGGCGCGCGCGCGCGCCGCGGCCGCGGGAGGCGCTCGGGAGGCGCGGCTGCGACGACCAGCGAGGTGTTCTCCGGCCTCGTCTGGGCTTCATGGGTTGGGGGGTCGCGCCATGGGGAGCGAGGCGTGAGGGGAGGCAGCCAGGGCTGCAGAGGAGGGGCCCTTTAGGGGGCCCCTCAGGGCCTCAGGGCCCGAGAAGTCCACACTACTCCCCCCCTCCCTTCCGACCGCTCGGGCGGGCCTCAGCTGCCCACCGCGCGCGCGCTCCGCCGCCGCCCCGCTGACCCCGCCGGCCCTCGGGCGGGCGCCTCGTGGCCGTGTGCCTCCTCGACCTTGCCGACCATCTGCGCCCTCGCTTCGGGGCAACGAGGACGCCACCAACGACGCCGCCGACGACGACGCCGATGCCGACGCCGACGCCACCAACGGAGCCGCCGCCGACGCCGCCGATGCCGACGACCACGACGAAGACGACGACGCCGACGCCGACGACGACGACGCCGCGACGCCGACGCCGACGCCGACGCCGACGCCGACGCCGACGCCGACGCCGACGCCGATGCCGCCGCCGACGACGACGCCGATGACGACGACGACGACGCCGCCCACGACGCCCGCGACGCGCGACGCCGACGACGACGCCGACGACGCCGACGACGACGCCCACAACGCCCTCGACACCGACGACGACGACGACGACGACGACGACAACGACGATGAACGCCGACGGCGACGACGACGACGACGACGACCCCCAGGACGACGCCGACGGACGACGACAACGACCACGACGATCACGTCCGACGCCGGCGCCGACGACGCCGATGTCGATGCCGACGTCACCAACGGAGCCGCCGACGACGACGCTGATGTCGCAAAACCGCGACGCCGACGCCGACGCCGACCACGACGACGACGAGGACGACGACGCCGACGCCGACGACGACCTCGATGCCGACGCCGACGCCGACGCCGAAGCCGCCGCCGACGACGACGACGCCGATGACGACGACGACGACGACCGATGACGCGGACGACGACGACGACGACGACGGCGACGCCGACGCCGTCGCCAACGCCGACGCCGACGCCGACGCCGACGCTACTGCCGCCGCTCACGCCGACGACGACGACGCCCACGACGCCGCCGACGCCGACGACGCCGCCGCTGCCGTCGCTTACGACCACGACGACGACGACCACGACGACGACGACCACGACGACGACGACGACGATAACGTCGACGACGACGACAAACGCCGCCGCCGCCGTCGACGACGACGTCGACGCCGACGACGACGCCGACGACGACGACGACGACGACGACGACGATAACGTCGACGACGACGATAACGTCGGAAACGACGACGACGACGACGACGACGACGCCGACTCCGACGCCGCCGCCGACGCCGCCGCCGACGCCGCCGCTGACGCTGACGCCGACGCCGCCGCCGACGCCGGTGCCGCCGCCGACGACGCCAGCGCCGCCCTCGCCGCCGACGACGACGACGTCGTTAACGACGACGCCGACGCCGCCGCCGCCGACGACGACGACGACGACGACGCCGACGCCGAAGCCGACGACGCCGACGCCGACGCCGCCGCCGACGCCGCCGCTGACGCTGACGCCGAAGCCGCCGCCGACGCCGGCGCCGCCGCCGACGACGCCGACGTCGACGCCGCTGCCGACGACGTCGCCGACCACGACGACGACGACGACGAACGACGCCCTGGCCGCCGCCGCCGCCGCCGTCGATCACGACGACGACAACGATAATGACGACGACGACGACGACGACGCTGACGACGACGACTACGACGACGACGACGACGAACGACGACGACGACGACGACGACGACGGAAAAAAAACGCCGCCGCCGCCGCCGCCTGCCGCCGCCGCCGCCGCAGCTACGGACGACGACGACGACGCAGACGACGACGACGACCGCGACGACGACGACGACGATGAACGACGACGACGACGACGGACGCCGACGACGACGACGACGACGACGCCGACGCCGACGCCGCCGACGCTGACGCCGACGCCGCGCCGACGCCGGTGCCGCCGCCGACGACGCCAGCGCCGCCCTCGCCGCCGACGACGACGACGACGACGACGCCGACGCCGAAGCCGACGACGCCGACGCCGACGCCGCCGCCGACGCCGCCGCTGACGCTGACGCCGAAGCCGCCGCCGACGCCGGCGCCGCCGCCGACGTCGCCGACCACGACGACGACGACGACGACGTCGCCGACCACGACGACGACGACGACGACGACGACGACGACGACGACGCCCTGGCCGCCGCCGCCGCCGCCGCTCACGACGACGACGATAATGACGCCCTTGCCGCCCGCGCCGCGCATCGCGGGCTCGTCGAAGCCGGCGCCGCCGCCGCCGCGCAGGGGCCGCCGATGGCCGCGCTGGTGGCGCTGCAGACGCTGCTGGGCGACGTTTCGCCACCGCCGCGGCAGAGGGCGCGCGGCGCGGCGGCGGGCGGCCCGCGCGAGGGCCCCGCGAAGTCCGCGGGCTTCGCGCCGCCGGTCGAGCTCCCCGCCGCGCGGCGCGGGCCAGAGGTCGGCACGAAGAAGCGGGCACGGAGAGAACGGGTACGCGCGTGCCCCCCCGCAGTGACGGATAGGAAGGGGGGGCGGCGGGGCCGTCGGCAGTCTTCCACGGAGGCGGGAAAGGGGTACGGTGTAAAGGGGTGTGGTGTCGACGCCGAATCTGGCGATGCCTGCGGTCGTCGAAGACATTGCCATCTCCACGATTGGCACCACACCCCTTTCTGCCACGCCCCATTCCGACCTACAGGTCTTCGAGGCTCTGAAGAAACCCGCTGTGGGCGACGATTTGTTGACACATTGTGTAACGAGCCAGCCGCTGGCGCTGAATTTTCGACAAAGCAATGGTGGTGGGTCGCAGGTGGGTCGCGGGTGGGTCGCTGGCGGGTCGCGGGGTGGGTCGCGGGGTGGGTCGCGGGGTAGGTCGCGGGGAGGTCGCGGGCCAGGACGACGACAACAACAGCAAACAAAAACAATATCCAAGAAATTTGGGCCACGGACCCCTCTTCAGCCACGCAATTTGGGCCACGGACCCCTCTTCAGCCACGCATCCAGGGGGTATGAATGACCGTCCGGTCCCTCCCCACAGTTGCGGATAAGTCTCGGGGTTATTCGCGGGGTGGGTCTCGGGGTCAGTCGCGGGGCGGGTCGTGGATGGGTCGCGGGGTGGGTCGTGTGGGGGTCGCAGGACGACGACGACGACGACGACAACAACAACCAAAAACACACACACACACAAACAGCAACAACAACCACAACAAGTTGTTCTCCCTTGTCCAGTCGCGTGCCATAGGCGCCGCTCCGCCCCCAAACCCGGGCAACGACATCGCCGAGGACGACACTTTATTGGACCCTTGGCCGGAATGGATTAAACGTGCCACCCACGAGGCAGTACGACGAGTGCGTGAATATGGAGTGTATTGTTGGGCCACGATTTACAGGCGGATAAACATGGGAATGGGCACGAAAAGGTGTTTTCATGGAGGCATCAGAATGGCCGATTCCAATCCTGAACTGGGCTCCGCGACTGGACCTGCGCACGCCAGCCCAGCGACGCCCAGGGCGCCCTGAGACCCGGTGGGTGTGGACGATATCAAACAGCATGTGCTGACCACCATCGGCTACGACGATCGGACACAGGTCGCGGAGCAAGAGAGGCGCGGGGCCACCCGAGGGACGAGTGCATCAAGATGCGGGCGGGCCTGGGCCCTCCCGGCAGCTCCCTCGCGGAGCCTTGCGCTGGTTTCCGTTCCGTTCCGTGCCATGGGCACGTTTAATCCGAACCCTCGGGACCCGCTATCTTCGTCTTCGACTTGCCCCATCTTGGGGGTATGTATTCCTGACCTGTCACGCGTATTCAGCGCAGCCTTTAAAACGGTGGCAGGGAGGACGGGTGCAAGGGGCAGGGAGAAGGACGGAGCACGAGAGAGAGATTTGGCAGGCAGGGGCCAGGAGCAGGAGGCACGTGGCCGGACCAGACGGGCAGATCGAGCGGGTAGACTCTAGCGGCGGGCCCAGGCGGCCAGGTTGAGCAGGCGGGTTGCTGAAGCGTGGGTCCTGCATGAAGCCTCGAGGAAGCTTTCGCTTAGTACGGTTCCCAAGTAATTCGCGAGAAAGGTCAGAGGGAGGGCGTGATTCCTGAATGTTGGGGGCGCGGCGATTCAATACATTGCGAGAAGGTGCCACGCTAGAGCGCGATTCCTGCGTGCATTGAGGACGTCCCGCACGAGCGCGCGATTTTGAAATAAGTTGTCAGGAGGTGTATTGCGGGAGCCGCTGTTATTGTAAACCTGGTGCCAGGGGCACAATCTGAGCATCAGGACGTTCCCGCGTAAAGAACCGGGTGCGTGCCCCGGGAGGCGCTCGAAACCCGCCCGCTTTGTCTTCGACCGTACCCCATTGGGGGTATATCTCCCTTACCTGCAACGCGTAGCTGCCGAAGCCCTTAGAACACGGAATGGAGGAGAGGCACAACGGAGAGAGAGAAAAGGATGGAGCACGACAGAGATTAGCACGAGAGGGGCGAGGAGCAGAAAAGCAAGCAGCAGAACCAGACGGGCGCGGGGGTCGGGCGGGCCCAGACGGCGGGGTCGAGCGGGCTGGGGGCTGAAGCGTCAGTCCTGCATGGACCGCGAAGAAGTCTCGAGCTATAGCGCGGTTCCTAAGTAAATCATGGGGAATCCAAAGCGAGAGCGTGATTCCTGAGTGTTGGGGGCCCGGCGTGTCAATAAATTGCGAAAACGTGCCACGCGAGAGCGCGATGCTTGGATTAATTGTCAGGAAGTCGCGCGCGAGAGCTCGATTTTGAATACACTTTGGGAGCCGCTGTTGTTGTAGGCCGGGGGCCAGGGACCCAATCTGAGGGGCAATCGTGTTTTCGGTAAAAAGGAAGGTGCGAGCCAAGGTGCACCAGGGGGAGCAACAACAGTTACTTTTTAGAAATAAGAGTTCAAGACCACCACGAACAACCAAAACGGCAAACATCAACACACCAGCATAATCTGCGCCGAATATTCTCACTTCAGCCACGCACCCAGGGACAATGAATAACCGTTCGTCCCCCTCACTCTTGACGAAGACCAACAGCAGCCCCTGCTCATTTTGAACAGGGCACCCTGTCGGCGTTGCCGCTGGCGTTGCCCATTTGAGACAGAGGGCCGCCTGCGCAACGGCAGCCGCTGTCGGGTTTGGGCAACATGTGCCGTGGACGGGCTAACAGTGTTCTACGTAACGGTGTGGTAGGCCTCGGTATTGTAGGTGGGACTGGTGCGTGGCCAAACCAGTTGTAGGAAAGAGTGGTTCGAGCTTCCCGACAATTCACTATGCCGTGTTCGGCTGTAACCTCGCGCATTTGAAAATGTATTGGGAAGTGTGGTTCGTGGTTTCCTTCGGTTTGCTCAACTTTGTTGCGCGCGACTCTGGGGTCGCAGAAACCAGGTTCCCAACACCACCGTTAACCAACAGAGCCGTCTGCCTAGCTTTGGATTGGATGTTGGAGATCGCACCTGTTTTTCTCATTAACTCTTCCGGGCGTCCCAGCGAGGGCTGGCGGCCGGTGGACCGCGCGGAGGATCCATGGGCGCCAGAAGCTGCCCCAGACATGCTCGCGCCCCCTGACTGCGGATCCGCCGCACTCGGGTTGCTTTTCCGACCTGAAGCTGTGTCGGAGATGCGCCCTGAGCGATGCGGAAAAGTATGGCGGAAAGCGTCGCCTCAAGAAAAGTACGGCGGATATCTCCGCAAGGGTATGGCGGAAGCAGAAGCGGCAAAGTACGGCGGAAATCGGCATCAAAGGAGCTTGAAACGAAGGGCGGCGATTTCCGCCCTACTTGCGAAATTGCCCAGAGCACCGCGGATCCGAAGGCAGTGTCGAGAGAAAACACACGGCGGGCAGTGTTTGCCTTTTTCGGGGGGCCCTCGCTGAGCCCCGTGACCGACCGAAAACGACTCGGGACGAGAAACCGGCCCTGGGGAAAGGGTCGCGATTTCGCTGGAATGACCGTGGGGGGTTCTAAGTGGATAAGTGGGTTACAAGTGGATGCTAAGGTGGGTTATATATGGCTCAATCTGGCTTACAAGTAGGTTACGAATTACCCGAGTGGCGAAGGGGGCTTAGACAACTCCGCTAAGTGGGCGGAGCCCACTTAGCCCAGACCGTTAACCACCCTAAGCTACTAGGGGCACTTGTAACCCACTTGTAAGCCAGGCTAGGCCCGATAGAACTCGCCTTAGCATCCACTTGGAACCCCCTATCCACGTAGCAACCCCGGCGGCGATCCCAGCGGGGAACCCCATGTTGAACAAACCACGAAGTCGGAGAGGAGCAGTACCTGGACCGCGGCAGGCAGCTGTTGGACAAGAGCCGGCAGGCGGTCCCGCGGTGGCACGCCGAGGGCAGCCGCTACGCCCTGCCGCCGCCGCCCCTCGACCGCTCCCCGAGCAGGTCCAGCTCCGCGAGCGCCGGCGCCGCGAGGCAGCCCGGCCATTGCGAGGTTCGAAGAGTAGCAAACGCCATGAACATAGATTTCTGGCGCCCCGCGCGGATTTCGTGGGTCCGCGCTGGACCCCCCTCCCTGGCGCGCAGAGCGCGCCAGGGGCGGCGCCTGGAGGCGCCGCTGGGGGGGGGCCCAGCGCGGATCCAAGAGATCCGTGCGGAGCGCCACAAGTCTATGTCTATGGCGTGTTCTCTCCCGCAGAGGTGGCGGCACCGGCGGCGCAGCCGGTGCTCGGCGCCGCCGCGCCGGTGGCGCAGCCGCTGCACGGCTCGGGCCACGCGGGAGGCCCGGTGGCCGTGCAGCAGGAGGCCCCCCGAGTGCGGCCCAGGCCCGCGGCGGCGCCCCCGAAGGGCCGCAGCCGGAGCCCCGTGCTGGCGCCGAGGTGCGCCGCGGGCTCGCCGCGCGGGGCCGGGGCGGCGCGTGCGGCCAGGGCGCCGCTGCAGCGGCAGGTGCTGCGCTCGCTGGACGCAGAGTCGCAGGCTTGAGTCGGGCGCGTCCCCCTGCAGGGGGAAGGTTCGAAACTAGTAACAAAATAGTCCAGGGAGGATTTGTTTTCGTATGGTTTGGCTATGTTTGTCTGTTTTTTCCCAACCATCCTGTGGTGTTGGGTCCTCGTTTTGAAGAGACAGGGCCCCGCGTTACTCTCCTCTCCTTCCTTCCTTACTTCCTCCTCCCCCTCCTCCCTCCTCCCCCTCAGCTCCGTGGCCCCATAGGGAGCTCCACCGAAGGCCCCAGTGGGGGTGGGCGCATGCGGGTCCCTCACACAGGGCAGCGCTTCGTGGCCCCATAAGGAGTTCCACCGAAGGCCCCAGTGCCGGGTCGCTCCCCGTATGCGGAATCGGCGATGACGAGACCCCGAATGTTCACTCGTGCGCGGGTGATAACTAACATGCGCCGAGACCCCCGAGGCCTCGAACTCTCGTAACCCTCGTAGGCCTCGTAGCCCTGCGCACTGCTTTCGCGCTTCCTCGCGCCCCCTGACATGTTGCAGGAAATCACAATGGCGCGCCTTTTTGGTTTCCATGGCAAACGTGGCGACTTTCCTAATCTGAAAACGCACGAAAACTTGCCCTGGCGCTATGTTAAGCTGGAAATCAAATGGCGCGATATATACGGTACCACGAATTTCTCGTCGAATTGGAATCCGCGAATTTATATACAGAGCCTGGAAATTAAGATTGTTGATATACAATATTAATTTCCATGTTCTGTAAGAAACGGCGCGCCCGTCGCGACCCACATAATGTTTTAATTCAGGTTTGAATGTTGCATGAAAATGTTCAAGCCACTCACATACATTTTTCTGCAACAAAAACCCTAGAATAAAATTCGTGAAGCGAAATCGCAATGCTGTTTGACCAAAAAAATATTTTTCTACATTCCCACTATATATACATACCAAAACCTTTAAAGCAAATGACATGTTACCGTCGGCCTCCTTAAAGGTCCCCAGAATTGTTGTATCTTGTTTGTGTAATTATATAACTGGGGAAAATAACGCGTTTACGCACGAAAACATTTGCGCTGCGCTCGTGGAATTCTCTTGGCGCAAAAAAAAAGTAATGTTCCGTCGGCCTCCTTACAGGTCAGCAGGCATTTTGAAATCAAGTTCCTGGATGTTACACGAAAACTTTTCCGTGGCGCACGAAAATATGTTCATGGCGTTCGTGGAGCTCCACGACAACCACGAAAACCTTTTCGTGGCTTGAAATCATGCATTTTGGAAATGCACGAAAGCCACGGCAACTTTTTCGTGGCCCACGAAAACTTGTTCGTGGCGTTCGTGGAGCTCCACGAAAGCCAGGAAAGTATTTTCGTGGCAATCTCCATGCACGAAAAGCATGCACGAAAACCACGAAAACATTTTCGTTGCGCACGAAAGCTTTTTCGTGGAGCTCCACGAAAACCACGAAAACCATTTTCGTGGCGCTCGTTGAAATTTTCGTGACACGAAAAAGCCATGTTACCGTCGGCCTCCTTAAAGATCCCCAGAAATTTTGAAATTAGTTTCTGGAATGACGAAAGCCACGAAAACCTTTTCGTGATCCACGAAAACCTTTTCGTGGCGTTCGTGGAGCTCCACGAAAAGCACGAAAACCTTTTCGTGGCGCTCGTTGAAATTTTGGCGGCACGAAAAAAAACAATGTTACCGTCGGCCTCCTTAAAGGGCCCCAGCAATTTTGAAATTAATTTTTGAAATGACGAAGGCCACGAAAACCTTTTCGTGGCACACGAAAACCTTTTCGTGGCGTTCGTGGAGCCCCACGAAAACCACGAAACCTTTTTCGTGACACACGAAAACCTTTTCGTGGCTGATCATGCATGCATGGGGTCCACGAAAAAAAAGCACGAAAACCTTTTCGTGGCGCTCGTGGGCACCATCCAAACATTTGTGTGCCTATATGCTAAGCTGCATGCGCGCGGCTTACGAAATACATTGGAAATTTGCAATATATCCACAAGAAAACTTGTTTTACTAAGTTTTAGCAAAACGAAAAATAAACGATGTTAAGCTGGAAATCCAAATGCATGGCGCGCACTTCCACGAAACTTGTTATTTCGCTGCGCACCATAAAGCATCGCAAAAGCTTATTCTCGTGGCGCGCATGTTTGTGGCGCCCGCGGAGCTCATGCGTAAAGTTCTATGACATGAAGATGCAATTTTAAGCTGGAAGTCAAAATGGCGCGCACCTATAACTTCCAGGCAATCATGGCGACTTTCCCCATCTGAAAACGCACAAACACCTTTTCGTATGGCGCTGAACTGCACGAAAAAACACAACCCATCAAGCTCTCTTGGCACGCTGTAAATCCCCAGGCCCCGGAAACCTTTTCGTGGCGTTCGTGGGGGTCCACGAACACCGAGAAAACAGTTGTCGCGGTTTTCCTGCCACGAAAATCATTGAAATATGTATTTATTGTATAAATACTGATGAATTTGCACGCATGCAGGAAAAACATGCATGTAAAGCAAACAGAAAAAAAAACACTAGTTCCCATGCGTGCAAAGTTTCCCAATCTGGATGCGCCACGAAAGCCGCGAACACCGTTGGACCACGAAATGGATGTCGTGGACCACGAAAATGTATTTCGTTGCGCAAATGTTTCCCAACCCTCCTTGGTTGGGTATTCGTTTTGAATAGAGCAGTGTGGTCGCGTCCCTCCTCCCTCCTCCTCCCTCCCTCCCTGCCTCTTCCTGTCTTGCCTGCGGGGGGCTGCGATCTGTGAAACTGTCGCCATTTTCGAGGCCTGCTGGGGGGCCCAGCACAGTGAGGGCCACGGGCAGATTCAAATTAGACCTCGCCATCCCTGGGGGGCTGCGATCTGTGAAACTGTCGCCATTTTCGAGGCCTGCTGGGGGGCCCAGCACAGTGAGGGCCACGGGCAGATTCAAATTAGACCTCGCCATCCCTGGGGGGCTGCGATCTGTGAAACTGTCGCCATTTTCGAGGCCTGCTGGGGGGCCCAGCACAGTGAGGGCCACGGGCAGATTCAAATTAGACCTCGCCATCCCTGGGGGGCTGCGATCTGTGAAACTGTCGCCATTTTCGAGGCCTGCTGGGGGGCCCAGCACAGTGAGGGCCACGGGCAGATTCAAATTAGACCTCGCCATCCCTGGGGGGCTGCGATCTGTGAAACTGTCGCCATTTTCGAGGCCTGCTGGGGGGCCCAGCACAGTGAGGGCCACGGGCAGATTCAAATTAGACCTCGCCATCCCTGGGGGGCTGCGATCTGTGAAACTGTCGCCATTTTCGAGGCCTGCTGGGGGGCCCAGCACAGTGAGGGCCACGCGCGGATTCAAATTAGACCTCGCCATCCCTGGGGGGCTGCGATCTGCGAAACTGTCGCCATTTTCGAGGCCTGCTGGGGGGCCCAGCACAGTGAGGGCCACGGGCAGATTCAAATTAGACCTCGCCATCCCTGGGGGGCTGCGATCTGTGAAACTGTCGCAATTTTCGAGGCCTGCTGGGGGGCCCAGCACAGTGAGGGTGACGCGCGGATTCAAATTAGACCTCGCCATCCCTGGGGGGCTGCGATCTGTGAAACTGCCACGCATTTTCGAGGCCTGCTGGGGGGCCCAGCACAGTGAGGGCCACGGGCAGATTCAAATGAGACCTCGCCATCCCTGGGGGGGGCTGCGATCTGTGAAACTGTCGCCATTTTCGAGGCCTGCTGGGGGGCCCAGCACAGTGACGCCACGGGCAGATTCAAATTAGACCTCGCCATCCCTGGGGGGGAGCGATCTGTGAAACTGTCGCCATTTCGAGGCCTGCTGGAGGGCCCAGCACAGTGAGGGCCACGGGCAGATTCAAATTAGACCTCGCCATCCCTGGGGGGGTGCGATCTGTGAAACTGTCGCCACTTTCGAGGCCTGCTGGGGGGCCCAGCACAGTGACGCCACGGGCAGATTCAAACGAGACCTCGCCATCCCTGGGGGGCTGCGATCTGTGAAACTGTCGCCATTTTCGAGGCCTGCTGGGGGGCCCAGCACAGTGAGGGCCACGCGCGGATTCAAATTAGACCTCGCCATCTCTGGGGGGGTTGCGATCTGTGAAACTGTCGCCACTTTCGAGGCCTGCTGGGGGGCCCTGCACAGTTACGCCACGGGCACATTCAAACGAGACCTCTCCATCCGTTGGGGGCTGCGATCTGTGAAACTGTCGCCACTTTCGAGGCCTGCTGGGGGGCCCAGCGCAGTGACGCCACGGGCAGATTCAAATGAGACCTCGCCATCCCCTGGAGGCTGCGATCTGTGAAACTGTCGCCACTTTCGAGGCCTGCTGGGGGGCCCAGCACAGTGACGCCACGCGCGGACCCAAATTAGACCTCGCCATCCCTGCGGGGCTGCGATCTGTGAAACTGTCGCCACTTTCGAGGCCTGCTGTGATCACCATTTTCGAAATGGCTAGGAGTGCCCAGGAATTGTAACTCATCAGTTTTATCAAGTCCTTTTCCTGTAGCCAGTGTCCTGCGAGTCTCCCGAATTCCGGCTGCAGACATATGCAACCCTCGCTCCGTCATCGCCCCCTTATAACGTATCCTAAACTATTTGCGCCCCGCTTTTGCGCAGGGGTTGGGTACGTCGCCAGGGTAATTTAAAAAAAAGAATGCGCGCCTAAGGTTGCTTCGGAGGCCGCTGTTGGGCAGTATGCATGCAAGGTGGGCCTTCGATGTCCCCCTCTTGGGCCAATCTTGTTACCTTTTTGGGGCTTGAGTGCCCATGGGCTGTCTTGGAACCCCGTTGGGTCGTCGGGGGCTCGGCGTGGTTTTTTTGAGGGTTACGGAGGAGGGGGAGGAGCGTGCAATGCCCAACGTGGCACCGCCGCCGCCCCCCGGGCCCCGCGCCGCCCGCAAGCCGAAAGGCCGCGGCGGCGCGGGGCCACTTCGCTCCCCCGGCGCGGGTGCTACGGCCACCGCGCTCTTTTTTTGGGCCCCTGCAGGTTGGCCGCGCTGGGGGGGGCTAGGAGACAGCGGGGTG